GGTAGCAGTTTGAGAAGCATTAGCAGTGCTACCTATTTACTGACTTTTTCAAAATGGCAAAGGTAAAACTCAGAAGCAATGTAATAAAACCTTACCATGGTGATGGAGATGTGATAGCATGGGTCAAGTAGATGCGGCTGGTGGTAAGTGTTGTGGAGTGATTTCACAGTGGAGGCTTGTATTTGTACTAAGTCGGTCCTAAAATAGGTTCGACGTACAAAACGTTAGGAACTTGACATAATAGGTATAACGCAGAGTAATCTAGTTGTGGTCGCTGATACTTTAGTATTCGACTGTCGTCCGACTCACTGACTGACCGACTCACTGACTGACCCCTCGTTACTCTTACTACTCCTACTTATTATAGGTGGGAGAGTCTATTAAATATAGAATAGGTGTGTTCCACTATAACAACCCCTCCAAACTTTACTCCGTAGGAGTAAAACAGTTTTCTTTATTTATTTTTTACAGGAAATATGAAGAAAAAACAAAAAAAAACTTCATTTTTTTTCGCAACATCGTAGCGTATCTCCTACGTTTTGGATCCACTTTTAAATGATAAGTTGCCTTTCTTTTTCTCCTGGATTGGCGTACCTCAGGTAAAATTGTTGCAGGCGTTGTTAGATCAAACGTATCGAAAATTACTTCCATCGGCGTTTCTTCCGCGAGACCGCTGTCAACCACGTCTGAAAAACGTTGTCTGATCTGGTTACTGCATGTAAATTTTTTGCCTTTCACCAAGTACATCATATTGCCAATCCGCTTTTCTATTTTTTAGTACCTCCATAGTGTTACCAGAAACAACCTTACGCTTTGAGCTTCTTCAGGATGGTGTCACAGTTTCTGTAGGTTCTTCTTGTGGTTCTATTTGTTCAGCTTCTAGCTTCCCTTTTGTTGATCTTGTGCTTCTTAACGTTTTCTGTGGTGACTTCAGTTGACTTAAATCATTTAATAATACTGCATGTCCTTGGCTGCGGGTAACTCGCTCCCCAGTTTTTCTCGGTGTCGGCTTCATCTTTACTTTCTGGAGCTTTTTTTTCACGTATATCGTCAGTGTTACCCATTCACTATACTCCGGTTTTCTCTAATCTGTCCACTTCTTTATCTATCTGTTCAATTAAGGCAAACGGCACATTCCTTTTCTTTTTGAATACCACCTGAGCGTTTTCTTTTAGCTGGAATTTTGCCTCCATCTTGGTACACGTTCCCAAACCTGGAGAAAAAACAGTAGGAAATGTTTCCTTAAGTTTCTTTACTAATTTTTGGGCTTTGGAGTTTAAACTTTCTACCTTGTAACAGAAAGAATTTACCAGTAGATCCCATAATTGGAATTCTGTTATCCAATTCGTACCAAGTAAGTTCGTGGTATTTTATATGACAAATAGTTTAACTTTTCGCGTTTTTTTATTTTTATTTAACGTGACGTTTGTAACAAATTCTCCAATAAATTGTATTTTTTCTCCCATCACTGACCTCGTGATTTTCTTTGTCTTCATTAACGTTGGTTTCCCCAACTTCTTCCACGTATGCAAATTTATAATAGATAGGTCGGAACCAGTGTCGAGTTGCATTTTTATTTTTTTATTACTTATTTCGACAGTAACAAATTTTCTGGTTATTCCATCGTTCACCTCGTTGAACTTTAATTTTCTTATTTTATTGTCTTTATTTTTTGACCTGCCGTGCGAGCTTTTATGACCCACTCTTTTACAGTTGAAACATTTTTTATTCCTAAAATTGCAATATCTGTACCAGTGAAGTTCACATAAAAAAAACATGGCTTCAGGAGTTTTGTTTATTTTTCTCTGGTATTTCACTTTTTGTTTGATAATCCGCAATTTTAGAATTCTTTTTGGTAGACTGACTTTCTTCTTTGTAGCGTATTTTCCTTACATGCGAAACGCCAGACTGTTCTATCTTTTTTTAATCTTTCTTTACGCTAACATATCTTGTGCAGTCTTCTGCCAACTTCTGTATCGTAAGACTTGGATTGCTTTCCAATTTTGTCAGTACTAATTTTCTCAACTCTGCATCTCTTTCCGATACCAGCCCCTGAACAAACACCAAGCACTTAAAATTGTCTGCGCTTAACTCTGCCAGCTTGAATTCTTCACAATACTTATTCACATTGGCTGCGTACGTTATATAGTCTTGTTCGTCATCTTTCCTCAGATTCAAACATTTCCACCTCTTGTGAAACAAAGATGTCTTTTTACTAAATAATTCACTTAATATATTTACCGCCTCGGTAAATGTCAACTCGCTAGTTTTTTTTTCGGTAAAATGTAGTTTACCAATTTGTTATGCTCAGCAGTTCCTAACTTGCTTAAAAGAAGTCTAACCTTCTTTCCTTCAGACCAAAAGTGGCAGTCCTTGTTATACACGTCCGTATATTTTTTATAATACTCCTCAAAAGTTATCTCTTCATCTGGACTGTACGTAAATATTTCAATTGAATTCCATATTGTATTCTCTGGGAAAGAATCATTTTGTAGATTTTTCTCTTTCCTCTTCTCAGTTATTTCCAGAATTTTGTTTTGAAACTCCTACTTTAGTATTCGACTAACTGTGTGTCCGACTCACTGACTGACCCCTCGTTACTCTTATCGAAGTCTCCGTTGACGACAAATCACATTCAAAATTGATTGAAATTGGCCGAGGACAATATGAAGATTGACTTCTCTAAAGTTTTGTTCACAGACTAAACTCGATCAACACTTGATGGTCCAGATAGATGGTGCAAAGGTTGGGTAATGAACGGACAGAATCACCATCAGCGTTTGAGACGCCAACAAGGTGGTGGAGGCATAATGATCTGGGGTGTTATTATTGGAAAAACATTAGTGGGCCCATGGAAAGTACCAGATGGCGACAAAATGACTGCTGATGCATACATAGCGTTTATGAAGGAGCATCTTGAATCGTGGATGAAAAGGCAAAGAGTTGCCTTCAGAAGGGCCATTGGTTTTATGCAAGATAATGCTCCCTCGCATGCTGCTCACAAGACTACTGAATATTTGAAACAGTTAGGCTTCGATGGACCTCAAAAATGAAGTGGCCAACAAATTCTCCGTATTTGAACCCAGTCGAAAACCTTTGGAGCATCATGAAGCGAAGACTGTACGTCAACGGACGACAATTCAGGAGCAACGCTGATCTGTGGGAAGCAATTCTTGATATATCTCGTGGCATTACAGCAGATGACATCCTACAATTAACAAATTCTATGGATCGTCGACTTCTTCAAGTAATTTCAAAACAGGGAAAGCACATTCCCTATTAATTTGTTTAAAACTGTGCCTTTGTTTGTATCTGTTATTATTTGTTTGATTATCTTATTTATTAGCTTCTTTTGATCATAAACATTCACGTGCAACATTAATAAACGTTTTGTGTGCTCAATTCTGGGAATTTTACTAAACCTTTATAATAATTTGGCACGCTCAAATCACCGTGCTGATAACAAATATAGCGCCAGTTTGTTTCCATTGCGCAGATCAGTACAAAAATTTCAGTGATTGCGCAGGTCAGTGTTGCCAACATTGTGTGAAAATTTTGTGTGAAAATTTTGTGTGAATTGATTAGACAGTTTTTGAAATATTAGAAAAAAAGTTACCTTGATAATAATTTGGCATGCACTATATTTCTACACAACATCGCCATGACACGAAACTCTACATAATGATAATCTCGCCGATACGGTCTCCTACAATCCGGATTGTTAGTACCCGCTTTTTGCCCTATACGATCTATATCGGGAGCAAGGCCGGCATTCCAATCACCCGCTAGAACTACCGAACGAGATGTCTTCAAGAACGGCTCGATCTGCCGAAACAAACCAGGCCGCTGCGCATGGTCATTGGGCGCATAAACCCCAATGAGACGAAGAGCCTTATCCTTTATGGTAATAATATCCAGCACGCAAAGCCTGCCCGCCAGATCCGCGAAGACAAGAGCACACGCCGCATCCAGAGACTTGCTCACCAGCCAGGAAACACCCCTCCAGCGTCCATCAAAACATGCTGAATAACGGACGAACCTCTTAGACAGCAACAAATTCTGCCTTCCAAGTTACTCATTCTTCGTTTTCGCAACATCAGCTACTTAGCGATTTTTAGGTTAATTTTATTATAGGTCTGCACTTTAAAGAACCTTTTAAACCCTATTGTTACTGTAAGAGGTCCACACATTTCCTTTGATAAGTATAAGAATAAATAAATTTATTTCTTAGTTTCATTGCATTCTCATGCTATGAAATTTTATTCTCAGTTTGCTCACAATTTAATATTTCAAAGTCAAACTATTTGTTTGGTTATATGCACAGTTACCTCCCTTATATCGTGAAGTTATTTTTTTTAAAATTTAAGTCTGTCACGTACACACATTGGAGCAATTCTCATTAATTTGTAAGTGTATTAAAATATTTTTAATTATATTTATTCAAATACAATCTAAGCGGTACTAACTTAAGAAAAAAATATTTAGTTACATTTGTTTTTTAAGAAGAAAATTATTTTACTTTTTTGCTTATGTTTAGTTTGGGCCTCCTTCTTTTATTAAAAATTTAAAAATATAAACGGTACATTACACACTTCTTTCTTTTTTATTGTTAGATCAATCTAGCTCAAATCTTAATATTTTAATTACTTGGAGCTATTTTTTGATCTGATCAAAGGTTAGGGGCATCTAACGAAGAAAAGTGCTAAAACTGCTAAAAAACATAAGCGACCAAGTTCGAATCATTCTTTTTTAGTTTTTTTTAGTGCTAAAAATCAATTTTTGATTTTTTTGTTTTAGTATAATAATAAAAATAGCGCAGATAAATATTCTCGTATTAAAGTTTGCTTTTCGTTTTTTGTTTTTTTTTCTAGCCACTGATATAAATTTTATTTTTCACAATTAAATTTGATTTAGTGTGAATTTCTAGTTTTGCATCGATCATAATCGTTTCGCACACACGGACCGGTTTATTCTTTTCAAACCAAAAGGCAAATAGAAGCATGCTTGACTTTCGATGCTTTTCTTCCACCTTTTCTGGTGGCTATAAACGGATATGTTACCCTTCGCTGAAAAATATTTCTCAAAAGGTTTTCTTCTGTAGATATCTTTCTTCTACTCCTTCTTTAAATCCTTTGATAACGGGAAAAGATGTCCTAACATCAGAATTATTTAATAATAAAAAAATGGTTTCTCGTTGTTTGATGTCGACTCAAGGAGACTTGCGTGTTCCTGGCGATTTATTTTGTGTCTCTTCTAAAGCTAAACTGAACAACATCAAATTCTTTTCTTCTCATGGAAGCGAACCACCCCACAAAAGCAAACAATTGACGAAATCTATAAAAAATCCTTACGAAGGATTGACTCTTGGAGAAAAAGGTTATTTTTTTTATTTATTTTTTTTCCCTAATTGAAAAAAAAAATGATTTTGAATAATTTGTAACATGTTTTTTAACTGCTTTGTCTTGTTTGTATATAAAGTTCACTACGTTTTGTTATCTTGCCCGTCCTCAATCGAACGAACGAATTAAGCTTCTTTAGTTAAAAAAATATATATTCTGAAATACAAAGTTTTATTTTTTGATTTCGCTACGAAAATTTCAAAAGTTATCATTTTAGCAGATTAGTAACTTTTTAAATTTACAAAAATAAAATTACTATCTGAGAAAGATCATTAAGGTAAGAAGGATGTCAAGAAAATACTGTTATGATGAAAAAAAATCACTATCTAGAAAATAATAGTAAAGAGTAAAAAACGGAAACCGAAAATATAATGAATTATGGACAATATTGTCACTCTGCGCGATCCCGACTTAAAAGTACATGTTGCTAAACGTACTAGTTTAAAAAATTACACAGACAAAAAAACAAAAGAAAACGAACTGTACTTTTAGAGTTCGTCAACACCAACAGGAAAATTTTACCTCTGGTAAATTTATTTTATTTTAAATTGTAGTTCCCGTTGGCGTTAGATGACATTTTTACTTTTAGATTGGTTAATTTGTGAGTAACTCGGCTATTTTCTTATATTCAGGGATAATTTGCTTTTTAATCCCCGCGCTTAGTATCTAATAAAAATTTCCCGAATAGTTAGGTGTAAGTACATTGTACATGCTTAATTCAAAAATATGTTTTATTATTTAAGTCCATAGCATATCTTTCATTTTATAGAGAAAGACTAAAGAGCCTCCCTGTTCCAATGCATTCATGGCATGGTGACAGACTGTCCAAGTTTCAACAGTTCCTTTACATTCTACCAAAATGCAAAACTTCAATCTCTTTAGGTTGAGAGATTGATGGTTGTCCTCCTAGCTTGCAAATTTTTTCTCAAATTACATTTTACAATCAATAAATTCACAATTTTTATGCAAGTTACATGTTGCATCTTTCTCTAAAAATCGTTTTTCTAATTTCAAACATCTTATTCTTGAGATTCTTTTTTGAAACTTTGCAAATCATTCCCAACACATGCCTGCACCTACTGCATTATTACCCTAAGATTCAGTGATCCATTGCTTATTTTTCAATTTGGAGATTAAACAGTTTCAAATGTTTTTTGTTTTTTTTATTTGGCCATAAATGTTATCAAAATAAATAAACTTATTATTACAGTTTCCAGCAAACAGTTCTTAAAGATTATGCAGGCAACCAGTGAAGAGATAATTAAAACTTCAAAGGTTTCTCTAACATAGAACAAACATAATTCTAATACTATATTAAAGACTTGAAAAAGATGTCATTATTTAAATGGATCTTGATTTTTCTACTTGCGTTTATATCTCGGAAAACGATCATGTAGGCACCTCCAAAAAATTCGGTACCCAAGGTTTAATGTATTTTTCATGAATAAAAAATCATTTTTGAGCTTTCCCCAAGCTTCAATTGAAAGCTAAAGGGTTCAATTTTCTAATTCCAGAAAACAAAACACTGTACTGTATTTCAACTAGAAATTATAATGATTTTAATCGATTCTTCTGAAAAACTAATTGAAACGGCCATGTTTAACTTTTTTTTTATAGAGAAATGTAAACAAAAATAATTTTTTGTTTTAAAAAAACCGCCTAAAATAACATATAGATTTTTGAAACGTTACTTTCGTAAAATTAGCAAATTTAAAGTTTAATTAATCTGTTTTAAAACAAACATCACTTACTTACACTATGAAATTTTCTAGACAAGCATTTCTTCACTACGGAGTCTTGAATTTTCTCGAGTCTCCATCGATAATTTGATGGCCGCGTGTGTTGACAGGTTTAGTATGGTGGACCAGAGCTGATACAATTTTTCGAATTCTAAGTAAGAATGATTTGCTATTGAATTTTTAACTACTAAGTAATGTCTAAAATTTAAAATATTTCAGGCAATTATCTAATATTTTACTGATTTTTTTTAACTGTAATTTTGAAGATGTTTTCTTATAATTTAAAAATAAAATACTATAAAAAAATTTTAAAATTATGTAGTTACCTCTATAATGGTAGATAATTATGATAATTTTATTAATTACTATATTATTAGTTATTACAATTTTTAACTAAATAACTGAGATGTAATATTATTAATTATTATATTAATTATAAATTATATTATTAATAATTAATTATATTAATATTTATCTTAAATTATTAATAATAATTAATAATAAAAATTATTAATTATTATAACTTCTATCTCACTCAGGTATTACATTTTTACAACTGAAATATAATTTTATCTCAATAATTCACTTCTTAATTTAATAACCGAGTTATAAAAGTAATTATCACAAATGATAGAGATAACAGTAACACTATGCTTTAAAATTTATAGTATTTAATATTTATATCTTTTAAGATCCTATTTTTTCATTTTATTCTTTATTTTATTTTGATGTTTATGAATTGTTAAAGTTATTTTATTTAATAAATTTTTAAAGTACTTAAATTTTTATTACTTAGATAATTGTACAACACCAAGAGCTTTCCCATAGGGGGAGACAAGCCTTGAAACACGTGATCTTTTAACCATAATATCACTTGCGAGACACCATACCAATAAATAAAAATAAACATCGTGACGCACAAAAAAAAATAACTTTTATTATGGTAAAAAGTTTTGGTAGCGTTATTTGTATTAAGCTTTTAATTTTCACTTAGTAAATATCGTCTTCACTTAAAAACCTAATAGCCGACCAAATGCGCTGCAAGAAAGAATTTTAAAACATTTTTGAAAATAAAAGAAAAAAAGGGGGAAAAAAATAAAAGAAAAATGCAAACAATTGTTGTAAAAATTCTATATTCACCGAAATTTTATTTTTTCTTCAGATAATAATGTCCTTATAAAAGCAAATAAAAACTTATCTAATTTGATAATTAGATAGTTTATTGCAGTTTTTATTTTTATGATTTGGAGCAGATTTTTTTAAAAATTGGGACTAGTTGTGAAAAACTAAATTGGTTATTTAATTTCTCCAAGAAGTCCTCTTTATAAGAAAAGAAAAAAAGTTGCAAACTTTTTGAAATTCTATAAAATTTCATAAAATTAAATTTGGAGGTAGTAACAGATGTAAAAAAAAAAAATTACCAAGATTTTCTAAAATAAAAAATTTCAAAATAAATTCATTCATTTTTTAATAAGTTCTAAAAGTTTCATTTTAATTAGACAATTATTTGATTTTTGCAATGATTTCAAAATTAATGGGTTCTCACCCGAAATTGCTACACTAAAAAAAAAAGCAATGACCACAAGTCGTACGGTTTTAAAAAAAAAAAATTAGATGTTTGACCCAAATTTAAAAAGTGTTAGAAAGAAGAGAAAAATTTTAAAAAATACTTTATTCTTTCCTCTTAAGAATAACATAAACATTTTTATGATGAAACTTTGTTTTTATTAAGTTTTGGGCCTGTTATCATTATGCTATACTGACATCTTGCGAAGAATTGGAGGTACCTACAGGGAAGTAAAATAAAAATTCTTGAAATTATGCCATAATTATGCACTGTAGATTTTGTCAATTTTAAAAGAAAATATTTAAAAGACATTTGCTTTGACTAATCTTCACTTTCACTTTAATGAGTTTTGTTAAGCTGACACTAATTACATCTTAGTTCTCTTAACTACACGTCCATTGCTTTAATAACTGAGCCAAATCAACTCTTTATATTGTTGGAATTTTTGTTTTTGATAACTAAGATATAGAAAATAACTGATCTTAAATAGTCTATGATACAAGTTTGACTAACACAGTTATTAATGGGACTCATATTTTTGTCTCGAATTTTATCCATGGGTTTTTTGACACTTTGTGTTTTGTATGAAATCTGTTGGAAGACAAAATATCTAATATTAATTGATACCATTTGATCTAATGCATAATTTATTTTATACTCTTCAAAGCTGTATTTCATGAAGTGGTGTTTCTTGTGCAAGGTAGCCTGATAGACCAACACTCCAGGCTGGTTTGAATTCAGAGTTTTCCTTCTAGACTTGTTGCCAACCAAGGGTATAGGACCCGGTCTGTCCTGCTATTTACCTATAGCTGGGGGGTGGGGATGGATTCAACACTTTTTCAAGGGTATAAGCATGTAAGCAAATGTAATAAATATGACTGGAATTTGAGCTCAGCTCTCTGATTCTTCAATCCAAGCTGTTATCCATTACTTCACCATGCCTCCACACTACTGATCTAAATATAAAATATACTTTCATCATAAATCATAAAGTTTTTCTAGAATACCCTATATTCAGTAAAATTAAATCTTTGTTTTCTATCCAATATCTCAATAACAAAGAAAGTTTTTTTTTTATCCAATGGCCTTGAAATTGTCTAGAAACTTTACAGACTAAAGAACAAAAATAAAATATACTAGTTTGCCCATGCTGTTAAAAATAAAGGTATATATGAAGTTGCTATTTTATCAAATCCTTACATTTTTTTAGGTTTTCATATGTAAATCTTTAAATATATTTTTCCAGTTCTCTGCTCTTTTAATTTCCTTGCTTTGGAAATATTTGACTACTTCATCATTGTTATAACAAAGATATTGCCCCTTAGTGATATTAAAACTTAGAGACAAAAATATACAATTATATTTGACATTATCTACTAAAATCATGTAATTATGGAATTGAGACATTTGAAGGGAATCAATTTATGGATATCTTTTAGAGAGCTAAAAATTTCTTTAGAATTTGAAATTGTGATGTTATAGAAAACTGTAGACAGCTAATTTGTTAAAAACCGTTCACCATATTTCTAAAAACTTTTATCTATTTTCCTTTACTAGTTATCCTTTACAACTGTATACAATAAAATGTACAGGTTCCTTGTTCTGCTATATTAAGCATTTTTTTCTTCAATAATAAAAAAAAGATTTTGTCAATAAGGCAATGTTCAAATACTAACCAGACAACTCCCTTCTACAAAAAATATATATTCATTTATATAAATGTGGATGTATACACATGATAATGCTAAAAATATCTCTAATTGTAAACATCTAAACCATAATTATATTTAATTTTAAAAATGGCAGTATTCTATAAGTTTTAAAAAAATAATTCAGTTATAAGATATTGAACAGTAAAACTACTTGTCAAGTTCTCATTAATAATATATATTATTATTATATATAGTAAAAAAAAGATGTTTTAATTTTCTTACAGTTAAAGAAGCTAGTAAAGATGTTACTTATACAGGAGTGATTATTGTTGGCATTGGAATTACAGGTAAGTCTATACAAACTACAAGGTTGCTCTTTAAGTAATGCCTCTTATGTTGGAGGTTTGGGAATAATAAAAAAAACAAACAATGTTTCACCCTCAAAGCAGTGGTGTCATTAAATTTTTCTATGAAAAATATTGCACCTGTTGATATTTATTGATTCTTACTGAATGTTTATGTAGACCAAATAGTGGGTATGAGCACAGTTAACCAATAGGTAATATTTCAGTAGTGACAACAAGTGTGAAATATAATCATATCATGTGACAGAAATACCTCCCACATAATGGTAAGACTAGTTGCAATGGTGTCTTCATCTAGTTAATGTCTTACAATTATGTGAGAGGTATTTCTACCACACTATATTTTAAATGTCATTTAATGTCTTTGACATGAAATTTAACTTTGTGCATAAATTTAAATAAAATCACTAATATTACATGATATGTTCTGACATATAATTATTGTAAGAAATTAAGATCAACACTTTATGGATCATTTGCATTATAAATACACTAAAAGTTTTGTTTAAGGCTCTGTCTAATTATAAGTTAGCATTTCACCTGACAAAGGGTTGAGAGGGTTTTAATTATACAAGGTAGGCATTAAAAAGTTCTTTGCTTAATACACTTCCCAAATCAGTATAAACTGTTACTCATTTACCAAGTGTTATCTTAATAAATTCAGAGCATTTAATTTTTTAACTTATTAAGTATTTTTACAGATTTACTTTTGCAAATGTTTAAAATTCTTTTCTTACAAAAATGTTTATATTGTTTTCTTGCAATTAAAACGTTAAAATTATTGCAATGTTTTAAAATTAAAAAATGTAGGTGTGTATGTATGTGTATATATATATATATATAGTCCTCTCACTTTCTTCTGACATTTTCATCTTGTTTTGTTTACCTAAGTAATCACACATTTTTATAACAACAATTTTAATATTCAGTTTTTCCTGATCCTGTATCTCTCTCTTCAATTACTGTATTTACTAGGGATGTTTTACAAAGGCAATACAAAATGTTATTTATATATATATATATATATATATATATATATATATATGAGAGAGAGAGATTGCAATTGGTTTGCTCATGTTTTATACTTTTTGTAAGAGACATTTAAATTTTTATTAAACAAATGATAAATTCGGTTGTTTTCACCTAATTGCCAATATTTTCATAATGAAATTATATTAATAGAAATGAAATAATTTTAAAACAAAGAGTTGCCATCATAGTTTATTTTCAATCAGTTCAAATAATTTTTACAACTGGATTCTTTGCCTATACAAATATTTATCTTTGAAATTGTGAAATTCTTTACAAAAAAATTGTTTTTACCAGAGTTAAATCCTACTTTCTTCAAATCAGAAAGGGAATCTGATTGTGAAAATACTTATGCTATTCCTGATAAATAAGTCACGTGGTAATGATAAACTCCTTTTATTTCATATTCTGCTATATTATCTTCCATTTACTGCATTGTACAGCGATGCATTTACCTGCATAATTTGACTTACTACACATTACAGGAAAAATTAACCAAAGTCACTTATGACAATGAAAATTATTAAAATTTAGAAAAAGGTTAACTTTTTAATATTCTTTATGTAATATACTGCTGAAAAGACTATATTCTGTCAGAGAATTAATAAGTATATTGTGAACTTGGCAATATTTTGCAAAGCTAGAGCTTTTATAAATTTTATTTCTTGCTTTTCATTGGCTGCAGCAATTATGTTTTATGCTATTGGCCGTGAGCTACTATCTCAAGAAAGTCCGAATGCCATATTTGGAAACGCTTTTAAGAGATGCAAAAATGATGAGGAGGTAAGGGATTGTGAAACTTTTTATCTTAATTTTTTAACTAGTATTTCTTTCATCTCAATTTCAGTTGTTTTTCATGACTACTAATCAGTTAAACTATGACCATTAGTAAAGAGCAGAGATTGGGAATTAAAAATAAGCTCTCAGCAAGAATATATTATTCATGGCCATGGAGCAACAGTGTGGGTAGGTGTGTTGAAAAGCAAATGAAAGAAATGTACATCAAAAAATTGATAATTTAATGGAATACTTAAATGCTTAACTTTTACAGGGTTCTCACAGATCTGTATAAAAATAAAATCTCAGGACTATGTTAAAAGGTTTCAATGACTGAAACTGGAGTTTGCCATTTTGATTTTTATGAATTGAGAGAAAAAAAGATGTGTGGGATTCAATTTAGAAAATTCCAGGACTTTTCAAGGAGCTTTTGGGCTATTACTGTTTTGCCAGGCCTTTTCAAGCTCTGAAAAAGGCTGTCAATTTTACAGGACTTTCAGTGACCTGTAGGAATAATTTTTGCTGCTATTGAGTCTTGAATGGTCATAAAATTAATTCTGAAAAATGCATTAAGTTATTTTACAAAAATAAAAATCAACCTCTTGACAATTTTAATAACCTACCCTCTCCGTTCTTCAAATATTTATGCAATAAAATAAAACTACTCCATTTTTTCCTTTACAACCTCCATAAAGCAATGAGTAAGGTAACTGTTCAATTTTTTTTTTTTTTTTATAACTTCAAAACAATGCTCTCTAAATTTGTATTTCTGCAACATGGTTTGAGTCAAAAGCTGAAGATGGATATATATTAGGTGCCTCCACTTTTTTGCTAAAATTTTCGGTACCTAAGGTTTAAAATTAATTTTAAAAAATGAAAACACATTCTTGAAGATTTTTTAGCTTTAATTGAAAGCTTTCCAGTAAGTAAAATATTCTGGTATATTTCAAATTGAAATTATATACATTGGAATCTCAACTTTTTCGTTGCTTTCAGAAAATCTTCTTAGAAGTTATCATTTTCTAACTTTTAAGAAATTTGTAAACAAAATTATTGGGTCTAAAAATCTTCCAAAAATAAAATATTTATGACATGTTGAATAAAATTCGCAAATTTAAAGATAATCTGATTTGAAACAAACATTACTTATAGCATAAAAAAGTAATATACAAACATTTATTAACAACTGGTCCAGGTTTTTCTTTTGTCTTTATTGACGTATTGATGAGCTCTGAGGTGTTGACAGCTAATATGGATAACCAAAATTGATATAATTTTACAAAATCTAAGTGAATGCATTTTTGGGTTTTTTTAACTACCTAGTAATTTTTACAAATCAACATATTTTCAGCAATTATCTAATATTTTATTGACTTTTAATTACGTTTGAAGATGCTTTATGAAAAAATAAAATTTAAAATACTATAAAATTTTCTTAGATTAATTTTAAAATATAATAACTGAGATGGAATACTATGATAGAGGTAACTCAATAATATTATGAAATGTTATGGTATTTATTAATTTATATTTTTTAATATATTACTTCATTTTATTCTTTATTATTGTTATCATGATGGTTATATTATATTTTATTATTAATTATGTAATTGTTTAAACTTTTATTTTAACACAATACACTGAGCAATATTTAAAAAAAAAAAGAAAAAAGTATAACTTACTTTAAAATTTTGAAGGGACGATTTGCAAAGACTTGATAAAATGGAACTGAATAATGACAGTGAAAGAATTGCAGAGTGCCAGACAACTCTTGACCGTTTAAGGATAATGTTATGTATGGATTACCATAGTTACGTATGGATTGACCGTTTAAGGATAATGTTATGTATGGATTACCATAGTTACCAAATGGGGAACGTTTATACACAAAGATTTTTTTTTAAATATGGGTTACAGACAACTGTTATGAGCTCTTCAATTTCTGATTTGTAAATATAGATTTCACTTAATAACAATATCACCTGACTTTCTTGAAGTAATGCAGAATTTTAAATGATTTTTATATTATAAATTAATTAAAATTTTTAAAAAAATGTAAACAATTCTTGTAAAAAATTAATTATTCATCAAAAAGATTTTATTAAGACAATATTGTCCTTAATAAATCTTATTTATAGAAGAAATTAAAAATTTTTATAATTAAGTAATGTCATAGTTTTATTGCATTTTTTATTTTACAATTCAGATTTTTGGTGAATGGTTAACTGTTTTACAAAAAAAAGAAAAGAATATGATGATTTTTAACTAATAAAAAAAATTCCTGCCCTAAGAAGTAAATTTCTCAAAATTTCATAAAAGTAAATAGAGGTAACATGAAAAAAAAAAAAAAACAACTTCAAAAATAATTTCACTCATTTGTGAATATGTCCTGAAAGTTTCATTAAAATCTGACGATTATTTGATTTTTGCAAGAATTTCCAATTCAATGTGTTTTTCACCAGAAGAAAGTGCAAAAACACTAATCATAATTATGTTGGCCACTGACATAAACAGAACAAGATTTTTAACCAAAATTTTGAATGTACTAGAAAGGATTAAAAAATTTCAAAAAATAAAAAAATACTTTGGTCTTTTTTAATAACAGAAACTTTTTGATGATAAGACTAAGTTTGGTGCCTTTTTTTCATTATGCTATGCTGTTTTTCAGTGAAAAAAATGAGGGTACCTAATACATATATTTTCTATATGTCTTTCATTTAATTTCACTTTAGCTACAATGTTGAATTAAAAAAAGAAAATCTGGCCAGATAAATATGTGAAATCAAATTTCAATATTGTTCTTCCAGGTGCAGAATGTTTTAGGTGAACATATCAAAGCATACGGAGAAGAATCAGGAAGACGAAGACGACGACATGTAAAGTAAGTTGATTTCTTTATAACCTAATATTGCATAGAGAATTTGTATAAGTATAGTTCTGCATTCTGATTTTCATAAAATCTCTTTTCTGCTTTGATAAATTTAAATTGTCTTCTTTATATTCATTCTTAAAAGAAATCCAATAATTCATTTCTAAGTACAATTGATTAATATCTTTGTCAATACTATTTTATGAATTGATCACCAGATGACAGGTTTTTTTTTTTTTTTCTTTTGTCTGCAAAGCGAATGTTTGTAAATGGACATGTAGTATAATGCTTACATTTTATGTCTTTATTTGCTTTTTTTTTTTTAATCATTTCACCCCAAGTAAGGTGGGGATGCCACTGGTATAGAGAAGCTTACAGAGTGAAGATGATAGGGAGGACTGAGGAAAGGATAAAAGCTGAATGGGGTTTAAGAAGATGGCGATTGACATTGATTTAAATTTTGTAAGATTGTAGTTATCGGGGAAGCAAGGAAATGGAAGGGAGTTCCACAGGCAGGAAGTGTGAGAAAAGAAACTGTTGGAGTAGAAGTGGTGGTTATTTTTAACTAATTCAACAGTAAAAGGGTGGGACCTAGATGTCAATCTAGTAGCATACTTAAACTCACAGTCCGGGCACCAGGGTGAAAAAAGCTTGTCAGTGAAGTTGCCATGAAAATATTTGTAGAAAAGACAGAGGGAAGCCATGTCACATTGGTGAGAAAGTGACTAGTGTGAAAGTCAGGATCCTGCTCCAGTTAACCACAGATTGGAGGTACTTTTCAAGAGCAGCGACCAGGTTAACTTTGTCAGTGCTGATGGGATTTGCTATTGAGACAGAAGTAAATGGTAATGTCATCAGCATAAATGTCTACTTGGGAATTGATGACATCAGGAAGATCATTGATGAAGATTAGAAACTGTGTAGGACCCAAGAGAGTGCCTTGGGGAATACCTGCATTTGTATGAAAATCTGGAAGCAAGCCTGTTCAAAACAACTTTCATTTCACGATTTGATCAAATAATTGTCCAGTAATACTATAGCCTTGGAGCTTATGTAGAGGACCAGCCTAGAGCCACAGCCTGAGCTTCGCTGTTATTATCAAGAGCTTGGTATACATATTCAGTAATGGCTGTTCTTTGTTTTCATTCTGTAAATACTATTGATTTAAATAAAAAAACACACCTACTTTATTTTTTTTCAATGTCAGTCAAATTATTCTGAGTTACATGTAAAGTGCTTTACTCTGTTACAACTTAACTGACCTAAACTTGAGAATTAATTTAACTCCTGAGCAAGTTGCATTATTGCATACCTTATCTTAAAAAAATGTGGTGGCTAAGTTAATTTTGAATGAAAAATACATGAGAATGTTGTTAGATATTTAAGATATAGCTTTTATTTTTTAATCTTGGTTGTTTTGATTACATTTCAGTCACTGAACTTTGGCTTTTCTAGACTTAGCTTACATTTTCTTAGTTAATGAAGAAAGATGACAGTTATGAAAAAAAAAATTGTCAGATTTTGGGACAGGGTTTCAGGATCTACTCCCCTGGGAGAGATTCCATTCATTAATCTCTGAATTATGATGAAAACCTTAAATAGGGAAATAAAAACCCAAGAGGTGAATGCAAGTCCAAAATTGTAAAAGAAATTACTGGTATTATTGAAATTGAAGTTTTAAGTATAGGTTTTGCCAAATTTTTTTTTTCTTTTTTACATAGCCACAAAATTTAGTAACTTGTATTCAGTGTTTTCACTTTTTAAAGATATATGCATGTTGTTTATCACTGGTCTGATGTGTTAACTTCCTTTTGAATTTGTTTATTTTAGTCATGTCGAATATGATGTTGGTGGTGTGAAGCACATGCGAATGAAGTTTTACATTGAGGGACAGCATAGAAAAGCAACTGTAAACTTAGAAATGAAACAGGTAAAAACTTTCAATGATTTAAGATATACAGTATTAGCATGTAAGGACATGTTCTAAATTATGATATACTCAAATCAATTACGAGTTGCTTCCCTTGTATTGATTAAATATTAGTTTTAATGAGATACCCATGAACTGAGATTCCCCCAAACATATCAGTCTTATGGGAAAGATGCTAACAGGAATTAGATTAATACAACTACACCTCCTTATTTTGAGAAATACATTTTATATCAATTTAAGATATTGTTGTATTTTTTTTATCTTTTCAGAATGAAAGTGGAAAATATGAATACCGTTATCTTTTTGTACAAATGGATAGCTATCCACATCAAATAATAGTGCTGGAAGATAACCGATGAATAAAGTCAACAGAATAATACTGGCCACAAATTTTTCAATTTAGTGTATACAGTAAAAATGAAATGTAAACATGGACATTCTATTCATAAGATATGAATAGGAACTTTGACTACTTTAACCCTACTCAGCTTTTTTTTTTTTTTTTTTTTTTTTTTTTTTTTTAGATTTCTCATCCAATAGTTTAAATATAAATTCTAAGCAAAAAAAAAAAAAAAAATTCAATTTACAAATTGTTTTTTAAATATAGTTCTTCAAATGAATTTCAAACCATAAAAGATCAGTGTCAACAGAACAATCCTCATTAAAATTTGTATACTCCAGAAGATTAGATATCACCTATCATTTATATATAAAATATAAGAATTTTTTTTCTGGAGTTCATAAAAGTTTAATAAAAGGATAACAAGCACTACATGCTTTAAAATATTTACTGACTTGTTTGTTATGGATTTACATTAAATAATAAATATGAAAAGCAAAGTTGTTACATTGTATCAAGTCTGCTGTAACTATTCTGAGTTGAATTCTGAAGATTCTCAGTCTGGTGTTACTTCTTGTCATTTTCACCAACTGCTTCACGTTGCTATGACAGCAAAAGAAAACAAGGAAACAGACAATATTTCTCTCTTTTTATTCAGACCATTTCACCACTATTCATTTGGGGACTGGACCACAATGAGCATGTAATCTTTATCTGAAAAAAGAAAAAAAAATGACAAATGTTTATTTCTAGACATTTTAAAAAATAATTCCCTATTAAACTGATATAAGAGATATATGAAAGCAACGTTTGACATCAAATTTTAGTTTTTTTTTACTTAATGTCATTATATATGCCAGAATATTTTAAATTGATTGCTTAAATAAATTGAAAATATTTTTGTTATAAAGAAACTTGTAAGTCAAGTAACTGGCTAGAGAGATTGTTTCAAACATGCAGTAATCAAGGAAATGCAGAGTTTATTAACCTGGTGCAACCATAATCTCATGTTTCTTTGATCTGATTCTCAGGAATGTCAAGTCATTGGAAGGATCAATATCTCGTACTGTGCTCCTGGCTTTAGCAGTCAACTCTAAGATCAATCCAGCATATTGTACCGTGGTAGAATTGTCCATTGTTGTCCGAATTGGAATGCCTATAATAATGAAATATCAAACACTAGAAAAATATTTAATTGTTTTTTTGGGGGTTTTTTTTGCTTATAAATTATAGTTGAAGACAAAGATGAGTGAGGAGAAAACAACTTTTACATGACAGCAGCTTCTTTTTTGTCTAAAATTTTGCTCACATTTTAATCAGTAATAATTGCTTAATATCAATTAACATTAGCAAAATTTAAAAAAAGGATGAAGTCCAGGAATGTACCTATTTAGGCTAAATGATAAAATTAAAGAGTCCATGAAAATAAAATAAAACAATGATTGGTTAGCAAGCATTTAATAAAACAGAAACAATGAAAAGTGCCTTGCACATATGTTCAAAATATGAAGTATATAATGAATGCTAGCTGACATGGATTTGAAACTTGGAAATTAACAAAATTGTTTGAAAACAGAAAATTTTATCAATAACTGTAAAAGATAGAAAGAGGTCACTATGGATTAGAGAAGTGATTAAGCAACAAAAAATAGAAGTGGACAATATATAAAAAGAATAGAGCATGTGCAGCTCTGCAGTGAACTTTTAATGGTTGATAATAAAGTTTTGAAAAAGTTTTTAAACAATTTGAAACCGGAATTAAGATTAAGTGTTGAGAAGAACAAATAGAAGCCATAAAATGAGTTTCAAGAAGGTGCCAGAAAGAATTGAACCTAAAATAAATAGTATTAATTAAGATTTATTAAGACAAGATTTTCTCAAATTGCCTCAAGGGCGGTATGACAATTTCTAGTCTTCTGGCATTTTCCAAAGCAGAATTCTTGCTAGGTTTATTTAAAATACTACCAAACATTTTTATAGCTTAACAAGTTCAATATAGGGATTTGGGGAACAAAGTATTCCACAAGGAGCATCAAACAAAGGTCACATCTTATTAAAAAAAAAAAAAAAAAAACATGCAATAAATTGATACCAGTGTTTTGTGAAATTTTTTATATAAACTAGCCAATACTGAAATTGGAGAAAAACATGCAGGGAGAGAAAAAAAAAATGACAATATAGGCAAAGTCTAGTTTCAATCCTCTTCCCAGTTGCTACTTGGAGGTTTCTCCATTTATTACAAATTACTACTAGAATAATTTTCCTACTGGAAGACTCAACCAGGCTACATAGCTTAATAATTCTTTACTCCTTATATACTTTGAAATTCTTCAATTTGTTTTTCATTAAACCCAATTCAATATAAACAAACTTGATTTGTGCTTTGAAATTAGTTTTCAGCAAAGAAGTTACCACAGTTGTTAGGATTTCACACCTGAAATCTCCACAGAATTACAAAGTGTGACAAAAGACATGACTTAGTTCAGAATTCGAAACGAGCGCGAACGTGTCTTGCCGCTATTGAAGACACAATTTATGCACGTCTATCTCGTCCAAGACGAGACGATATTTACACACATGCAAATTTTGGCCGTATTGAAATAGTATAAAAAGTGGGGTGCCAGCAACACAAGAGAATGGAAGTCATTTGGCAGACAGCATGCAATAGAGTTGGACGTATGGATTGACAGATGGACAAAGAGGAAGTCGAAGTAGGTGCGGCTGAGCTGGTGTCTGTTTCACAACTGCCCAGTGTAACGGCTGAGAAAGGGAGCCACGCAATCCATTTCTATGAGGCAACCGAAGAATAAAAATAGATGGCCTGCCGGTGAGCACCACACTGCACTTTTTGACACCCCTCTCATCACCATTTTTTTACTACACAAAGACTACTTGGAAAAATCCCTGTAGAATCCCAGCTTATTGACATGCAATGGCCAAGGAAGATTAAAAAATCCAAAAAAACACTACCAATTGACCGCAACAAGAATACTATGTATTTGGTAGTGCTGGCACAGGGAATAACAGATCAATGAGACAAAAACAAGCCACAGTTGCAATACCTGTCTGGCCTGTAGGGAGACAAAAATTGACTTCCCTTGGATTGAGGGGTGGGGGATGGGCGTTGCTTCTGCCCCTTTAGAAATTTGCTTTCGCTCATTGAACAGTTAACATCAACATTTTCCTAATTGCCTGATGTTCATACATGTGGAGAACAGACATTATGTTCACTGCTTTTTGTTGAGTGGAAAAGAGACCTTTGTCTCCAACTTTGGTGAGACACTTTATTTCATCTTGTCAAGAACACCAGAGAAAGTAAGACATTAGTGTTTATGTTTTTGTAGCTCAGTTCAGGCATACTTGTTCTTGGAGCAATGTGTACATTCATCCGTTTTGGGAAATGTGCAGATTTTTGTATAATATAATATGTACTTATTAAATGTTGTAATTGTGTACGGATGTTTATCTTGTCTTTCATTTCTGTTTATTCATTGTTAGTATATCAATAGATACACTAATGATAATATTATTACCTGGTGAGTGGGAAATGATTAAATATCTTTCCTAGCACCATATTGTGAGTAAATTATGACTGGCAAGTAAAATGACATTAATAAGACAATGTCCTAACTTTAAATAATTGGCAATGAGAATTTGTTTCTTTGATATATTTAGTTTTATTTTATTACTGCATAAGAGAATATCAAATTATTCGATAATTTTGAGAACAAACCTTGTCATTCCATTTTTTTGTTCATGTTATTAAGCTCCTATTTTTTTTTTTAATTATTGCTCCCACAGTATTTTAGCCGGTCCAATCTACAACTTAGATGTAGAAGCCATAAGGAAAGAGGCAAGGATAGATTTCCTTTTTAAAAGAAAATGGTAGCATATCAGCTCATTCCTAGCAATACAGGTGAAGTTTAAATAATAGATAAGGATAATCATTGGAAGATGAAAAATTGAAATGATGTATATTAACTTTATGAAGTTAATATACATCATTTCAATTTTTGTACAAATTAGACCAGAATGAAGAACATCCTTGCACATAAAAATATGGAATCATAACACATTGATTTGGAGCAGTCCATTTCCAACAATCAAATAGCATGAGGGACCTGTTTGAAAATGTTGAAGTGGATGACCTACTATCCTTCACAAAAGAAATGTGTTCATACTTCAAAATAAGATGAGAATCTGATGAGACATCTTTTGTTCGAGACTCCTTAGTACTTATATATATATATATATATACACACACACACTTTATGTAAATGTTCTTGATAGTTATTATGTAGAAAGTATAACATTAAAACTAGTCATTGTGATTTTTTCTGGTCTAGTAATACTTAAATATATGGTCTCTTACATTACATGAAATGAAAAAGTAAAACAGGAACAAAAGAAGGACCGATTTCAAAATTGAATTACTCACCAAAGGTTGAAATATATCTACCAATCTAACCTAATCAATTCAATTAGTGTATTTGTCACAATTCCTCAAGATTGCATTAACTGAAATATTATAAAAAAAAACCCAAAACCAGAAACCTTAGTCCAAACAACTCTCAGAAGAAAATGGATATAAGATGCAGGAGTTGATTAAATAAGTTTATACAAAATTAAAACTTTGTTATCGAAAATTAATCTCTGAAAAGAAATATGAAGCATACCACAGAGAAAAATCAGGACAGGAAACAATAAGCAACCTAAGGTCATATATTTCATGAAATTTGCAAAATTTTTAATCTGCATCTTCCTTAAAAGGTAACATTTTCTTCATTTTAAAGTCCTGTTTTTTAGATTCATTTTTTATTTTTAGAATTTTGGGAATATAAAATTAGCAAATTAAAAACTTAATGCAAATCTGGCAAATTGAATGGGGAAAAAACATTATGCACAATATATTTATTTTATGGAAATAGTTTCTGTAAAATTGACAAATATGCATTTTTTTTTTTTTTTTTTTTACCTTCCTGGTTTATAACAATAATCCCCAGGACACCTTTATGGCTT